GCAGACCGGGAGGGGCGGGGAACACACCGGGACACCCGGTGAGGAGCTGTCGGGACTCCCGAGCCCGGGGCAGCCGGTGTCAGAGGCTGTCGGGGTGCTCCACGCCCCCCGCCCTGCCGCGTCCCCCCCAACCTCAGTGGGAGACCCCTCGACCCCCCCCCCCCCCCCCCCGGGGAGCCCCGCGCCCCCCGGCGCTGCCCTCGCTGCCCCCCGGGACCTTCCCGCCCCCTCCCCAGCTCCTCGGAGGGAGCAAGAACCCCCCCAGTCCCACCCCGGCGGGGTCACCGTGCCCCCCCGCCCGGCACCGGCATCGCTTACGCGGGGAAACCCGACCTGCGGCGGCGGCACCCGGGGGGGCGGGAGCCGGGGGGGGGCTGAAGCGGGTCCCCAGCCCAGCCCTGGGCTGCCCGGGCCGGGGGTCGCTGGGCTGGGCCGGGGCTCGGGGTCCCGCCGCCCCGGGGCACCGGCGGGGCCGGCTCAGGACCATGGAGAGCGGCCGCCGTTACCGGGCCCCGGGGCCGCCGGCCGGGACGCGGCTGCCCCGGCCCCGAGCACTGACGTTCTCCCGCTGCTCCGGGAGTATAAACGGGTTAGGAGGCGCCTGGGCTGGATCTCGGCTCAATTAGGGGAAGGGAACCTGACGGCAGCCGGACATGGCCGCAGGCAGATGGTCCCCGGAGCCCCCCGCGCTCCGCCGGGGCCACCGCGGGGGCTGCGACCCTGGAAGCATTCAAAAAATGAGTGGATGTGACACTTGAGGACACGGGTTAGTGGTGAAGGTGACAGTGCCGGGTTAGTGGTTGGAGTCGATGATCTTGGAGGTCGTTTTGATGATTGCATGACCCGAGCCAAACCCAACGCCAGAGCGGTGCTGGGCTCGCCGGGCAGAGCTGTCCCGGGACACGGTCGGACCCTGGCAGGCAGCAGCCGGCAGCCACGGTCGGTGCTCTCGGGCACTCCACTGGCATCTCCCCATTTCACTGGGGAGCAGAGCAGCCCCGTGCTGCCCATCACTATTCCCAGTGCCTCTATGGAGCAGAAGCCGTGCTGAGATGTGGCAGTGCAGGGTCAGCTCCAGTGTCACAGACACAGGGCCGAGGGGACAGGCAGGGGCTCAGGGGGCTTGAGCTGGAACCCAGAGAGGGGATGGGTGACTCCAGCTGCAGGTCAGATGCAGGAGCAGGAGCAGCTCCACAGGGGTCCCACATGGAGGACACGACACCCACCAGCCCAAACCCTGCAGTGCAGCACGACCCACGCGGACCCTCCCCACTGCAGGATGGCTAAAAATAGCCAGAACCGGCTCCTCGCTGCCACCACAGAGCTAAATATAACCAGCATCGACCGGGCAGTGGGACCGGCAGCCGGGAGAGCGGGAGCTGAGCACGGCCCAGCACCGGGAGCGAGCGAGCGAGGCCTGGGAATCCACATGGGACCAGCCCCCCGAGCACGAGGGGAACGCAGGTGCAGCTGCCGGTGAGCGGGTTGGGGCTGGATCCCCCGGGAACCCCCCGCCCCCGGTGCCGGCGTTCCCTGGGCAGGTGGACGCGGTGTGAGGAGCCCAGGGAGCGGGTCCCCCCCGCGTTCGCACCGGCAGCGGCGGCTGCTGCATCACGGAGAGGGATGAATATTTATGGGCGTTTAAAAATAGCTGCTGCATTGTGCTTCCCCCTCACGTGCGGAGCCAGCGGGGTGCGGGGAAGCTGCTAAATTAGATGTCACCGCGCAGGGAGCTGCTCAGTCAGGCAGGAGCGGGATAAAAATAGAGCCTGCTGTGCGTGCGTGGATCTCCTGCAAAGCAGGGCCGGGTCCCGTGGGATCCCCCGCCTCCGCACACCGGCATCCCCACACCGTGCCCTGCCACGAGGACACCCCGGAGGAGCCGGGCAGGGATGGGGCTCTCCAGGGTGGCAGCCACAGCACCTGTCAGTGGCTTTACCCATGTGTGTGTGTCCCTCTGGGCCCAAAGGCCCCTGGAAGCAGATGCTGCCAAGCCCTGGCTCAGGGAAGTGACCCCGTGCCCTGCCAGCAGAGCGGTGCCAGCGTGTGATGCCCTGGCAGTCCCGGCCCTGGCAGCTGGCAGGGTCTCCATGCCCTCGCCGTGCCGAGAGCTGGATGTGCAGCTGGAGCCAAGGCTGGATGGACATAGACGGGGTCAGGACACGCAGCTCAGCCTGGGACCCCCAGGGAGGCCCAGGGGCACCCAGGGAACCCCGATCTCACTGGGAACCCATGTGGGCCAACACCAAACCCGCTGTGCCAAGCGGCCAGGGGGCTGGAAGTGTCCATGCCAGGCTGAGGGCTCTGAGTGGCACCAGCAGGGCCATGTGTGCAGGGTAGGCAGCCACCACTGCCAGGGCTCAGCTCGGGGGCTCATCCCGGGACCCCAGCGAGCTCCGGGCAGGGGGTTTGCAGCCCACAGTGGCCCCGGCGCTGGCAGAGCCGATGGGCACACACAGAGCCCTGCACAGATGGCTGCGGCCCCCGGGGGCCATGCCAGCCCCACGCGACGAGCTCTGATGGTTGTGCAAACAAAAGCGGGGCCAGATGGTCTCCCCCCCGCGCTCCAGCGCTGGAATCCTGCGCTCGCTCCCAGCCCCGACCTTGGCCGGGTGTCCCGCAGCGCTGCCGGTCTGCGCAGCACTGCTGCCGGGATTTTCATGGAGTCATGGAATCAGAGTGGTTTGGATGGGAAGGGACCTTAAAAAGCCCCCATCTGCACCCCAGGCCATGGGCAGGGACGCCTTCCACTAGCCCAGGTTGCTCCAAGCCCCGTCCAACCCGGCCTTGGACACTCCCAGGGATGGGGCAGCCACAGCTCCTCCAGTGTCCCTGGGGAAGCTGCTCCAGTGTCCCCCCACCCTCCGTTTCAGGGCGGCGGCGAGGGGGGGGTGTGTTTGCCCACCCTCCCCGGGCACCCAGCCGGCTCTGGGTCTCCACGTGCGGTGCAGCCGCTCCAGCCGCTTTCCGGGCTCCGCTCCCGCCGGTTCCCGCGGCGGCCCCGCCTCTGCCGGCGCTGCCGGACTACAGCTCCCGTCGTGCCGCGGCGGGGCGGGCCGAGGGGCCGCCGGGAGCGCACCGGGAGCGCAGCGGGAGAGCGGCGGAGCGAGCGCCGGCCCCGCCGAGCCGAAGCCGGGCCGGGCCGTGCGGGAGCGGTGAGTGCGGGCCGGGGGCGCGGGCCGGGGGGTCTCAGCCCTCCCTGCGGGCCCCGGGACCGAGCTCCGCGGCGGGGCCGGGGGAAAATGCCTCGCGTGGGCCCGGCCCGGGAGGAAAACACCCCAAAAGGGAGAAGCGGGTGCTGGGAGGGAGCTGGGACGCGGCGGGGTGGGAGTGGGGGAGTCCCCCAGGGCGGGGGTCGCGCTGTGCACAGCCCGGCCGGGAGCGGGTCCTGCCGCAGCCCCCCGGGGCACCGGCCCGGCCCGGGGAAACGGGGAGGGAAGAGGAGTCCGGGACCTGGAGGAGCCCAGACTCGGCCTTCCCTGCGGGTCCAAGATTTCCCGTTAAATCCAGGAGAACAGGCTGAGACAGGTAGAGCCCCCGTCCCCGGTCGGGGCGGCTCATCCCTGTCCGCGTCCCCGTGTCCCCCCCCGGGCTCTGCCAGCCCCGGGACCCCGAGGAGGGACCGGGCAGCGCTGGGGCTCAGACGAGTCCAACACGGCTCCGGGGCGTTGTGTTCCCAGTCCCACCCAGCAGCCGCCTCCCAGCACAGCCCAGTTCACCGGTGCCCTCCGTTCAAACTCCGACGCCATCAGCAAAGAAGGGTTTAAAGGATTTGTTGGGGAGATGGGGGTTGCTGTTGCTGCCAGAGATCGGGATCTGATCCGTGGGATCACCACCACCAGCAGCCTGGGAACACTGGGGAGATCAAGACCTGAGCCCTCTTTACCTCTCCAGCCCGGGTGAAGGTCCTGCAGTGGAGTGCTGGGATCCGAGCACGATCCTGCAGTCCCTGGGGAAGGGTGACAGCCCTGCCAAGTCATAGGATCTTTTATTTAGAGTGGAAAGGGCCTTTAAGGTCATCAAGTCCAAGTGTTAAGCAAGGGGATGGGAACACACGGTGGTCACACTCCTCTGAGGGCAAAGGTGAGGAAGAAGCTGCACCTGGACAGGGAGCAGGACACGGGAAAGATGGAGCAGAGGGAGGGCTCGGCTCTGGCATCACACTGTGCCCTTTGCCACTGGCCACAGCTCCGACTTTTCCCCTCCTTGGATGGCCAGTGTCCAATGTCAGCACAGCCCCGACCTTCACCCTCCGCCTGGTGCAACAGTCAGGCTTTTCTGTCCCAAAAAAGAGTGGGAAAGCAGCAGCTGCTCCAGGAAGGAGGGGCTGGAGTCCCTCCCATGGGGGGCTGTGCCTTGTTTTCCTGCAGGTGAACAAATCCTGCTGTGGAAACAGAAAGCAAACATGGGGTGAGGGATGGGGGTAGGGAGCTCTGGACAATGCCCTCAGCCCTCAGCCAGGCTTGTGCAATCCGAAATTTGGGAGAACTGGGGCAAGGGCTGCACAGCCCAGGGCAGAGCTGGAAAGATCTGCAGATGAAACGTTTAAGGTGGGGAAGGACAGAGTTTGGAGACACGGAATCACCCTCATGGAGCACTGAATGCTTGGCTTCTCCTTATCTCCTGCAAGAATGAGTTAACCTCTCCTGTGTTCCAGCATTCCACCCCGTATTCCTTAATTTTACAAGGAAGGGAAACTGAGGCAGGAGGAGAGGAATTGCTTCACATACAGCTTCCAAGTTGGGCCCTTCCCACCTCACTGTGGGTCTGCAGCTGCCCTCGTTTGCAGAAGGAACCAAGTCCAATTTGGTCCTTAGTTTTTGGAAGTTACACTAGTGGTTGGAAATTCCAGGGCACAGGCCACGTGCACCTCTGACTGCAGGAGCTTCTGTGGCCTTGGATAAAGGCATCACTTCAGGAGAGGCTCCTGGAGAGGCCTCCTGGGCAACCAGAGAGGAATCTGAGGTTTTTAACCGTTGATGAAACTAGATTTTAAGGCCTCCATTGAGAGCACAGATCCCTTTGCATGGGCAGTCTCTTCCAGCATCCCTCTTCCCACACCTCCATGTCACTCTGAGCCCCAGCCATGTGGTTCCTCCTGCTGCACAGCTGGAATCCCACAGGCCCAGCTGGAACCCCACAGGCACAGCTCTTTGTGGAGAGTCGGACTGTTCCTCACGCCTCTCTCCAGCCTCCTCCAGACTAAACAAACCCGTTTCCTTCCAGCTGTCCTTGCAGGTCATGTTTTTCCTACACCTCTGCTCATTCTCTCTGCTCTCCCTGGATGCTCTCCAGCTCCTCCCAGGACTGGACAGTGTTCTCCCAACATCCAGGAGAACTGTTTCCCATGTCTGGCACTCAGCACTCCTGTTTACATGTTCCACAGGGTGTTTTGCTTTTCGTTGTTGTAACAATCTGACTCTTTTTGACTCATTTGTGCTTCACCACAACCCCCAGTTTTCCTTCTGAGAGCCCTTGGGAATCGCAGCAGGTTCAGGCTGGAGCTGTTTCCCCCTGCCAGGGGTGAAGTGCTGAGCCCTGGCTCCCAGTCTTGCTTCCAGACCACACTTTGGGCTCTTGTCAGGAATATCCTCAAGCCAGTGATCCAGGAGATGGGCAACAAGGAAACGAGCACCCAGCAGAGCTGCAGCCTCTTTCCTGGAAACAAAATCCTTCCCCAGGTATGAGCCCCCTGATAGAGGGAGGTGAAGATCTGCAGCAACGGCCGCCTGTGCAGTTGGAGGAGGTTTGGAAGTTACATGGAGCATCCCAGGAGCTGTGGAGTGGAGGCTGGCTCTGAGCCCCAGCCCTGGGCAGGAGCGGGGCCTGCGCCAGCTCCTGAGACAAGCCAGGCCTGGTGCTCCAGGAGGGAGCTGGGAACAGCTGGCAGTGAGGAGAGTGTGATGTTGGAGCTGGCTCGGGCTCACCCCCGGAGAGCTGGAGGGAACAGCAACACGGCTTCCAGCTGTGGGAACCAAGAGCAGAGCCACGAGGCCAAACGGCAGGAAACAGCCCTCACTGTGGGGTCCTGGATCCAAGGAGGACGAACCGGATCATCCCATCAAACTCCGCTTCCATGGGACACAGAGATGATTTTACACGAGAATTTCCCTGATCTCGGTGTGAAGACTCAGCTTTACAGTGGGTTTAGTTTGTGCTGTTCCCTGTAATCCCTGGAAACCAGGAAACCAGAGCTGTCCTGCTCCCAGCTGGCCTGGGAGCTGATGGATACCTGCTGCCACTGGCACTGTCAGTCCAAAAGCCCACTCAATACCTTCACTGTCTGTGGGACATCACTCCAAGGACTTGCTCCAAGAGGGTGACACTCTCTTGCTTCCTCTCCTTCCTGGCATTGTCCAGAAAACCATCTCTGTGCTCCTCCTACATGGCAGCTGATCTTTCCAGGTAGGGGAAGAGCCACCTCCTCCACAGCTCTTCCTCCTGAAATATCCTCCCAAGGCACTTTGCCCTGTTATCTCTCCCTTTTTACATTCCTCAAGAAGAACCTCATTCCTTCCCTGGGGGGAAATTGTTTTGTTCCTCTTTTTTCCCTCTTTAAGTCTTAAATCCAAAGGCAAAACAAGTGAGCCAGAGCAGGAGACCAGCAAACCTCCGGAGCTGTGCAGTACCCTGTTAATTTAGTTAAATTAATTAGGAGATCTGTTGATACAGAGCCTTTCCTGAGTAGATACTGTGTTCTCTCCCCAAATTTAAGGCCTGCTGGCTCCATAAACATGCAGGAAGCTTCCTGTGCCACGTGTTTCCATGATTAACACCATGACAAGGATCTAAAAGTGCTTAAAACTATTGGTTCGAGTCTTGTCAGGCGAACGTGGGATTGAACCTCAACACCTTGGCTCCAGGAAAACATCTCAAATCACAAGTAGCTTCTGCCACAGACAGGCTTCCCACACATTATTCCCAAATCTGAACCACTCCCGGATTCGGCGACGTCAGCTCTGGGAACGGCAGTAGCGGGGGGCAGAGGAGTGAGCTGCCTTGGGATTTTTATAGCACAGAGCAGATTTGGGGTTTTGCCTGACAACCAGCCGAGTGCTGAGCGCTTCGGGCCCGAGCTCTGACCCGGGTGTGTGTTGCAGGGGCTCCCGTGGGACACGAGGGCAGGATGAACGTGGGGACGGCGCACAGCGAGGTGAACCCCAACACCCGCGTCATGAACAGCCGCGGCATCTGGCTGTCCTACGTGCTGGGCATCGGGCTGCTGCACGTCGTGCTGCTCAGCATCCCCTTCTTCAGCGTCCCCGTGGTCTGGACCCTCACCAACATCATCCACAACCTGGTAAGGGGGGGCGGCGCGGCCCAGGGCGCGGGGAGCCTCTGAGCAACCCGCTGAGATCCCCGTTGGAACGGGTCCTTTGTGTTTCCAAAGGTGCCGGGGGAGTTGCTCAACCTGCAACCCTCAGCCTGCGCCGGTGCCTCTGGGTCATGGATTTAAATCCAGCCCAGGTACAGGTGAGGCAGCAACACCTGGTGAGGCTGCTCCAAGGGGATTCATTTGTCTTCGGGGCAAGTCCTTCTTTGTGTCCCCAGAGGAGTCTGGGACAGGCCCCAGACACTGCCAAGGTGTCACTTGGGGTGGTAAAACCTGAATTGGCCTCGTCAGAGTTAAGGAAACGAGGTTAAACCACAGATGTTTTTCTGCTTAAAGTAAAAGGTTAGTCCAGGAACTGATTCCTTTCTCTAAGGATCAGGTCCTCGACAGGTACAGGGGACAAAACTCTTCACAGATGCAGCAATTGATTCTGTATCCTTAATTTTAAATAACATCTCTGCCTAGGAGTATTCCAGAGACAAAAATGACACAGACTGGGAACCCTCATGCTAAAGTTATTCCTAGTGGGGGATAAAACTAACCCTAAACCCCCAAACTGGAGCTGCTCTGGGGATAAAACCTCCACAAACCCCCAAACTGGACCTGCTCAGCACTCAGCTCACGAGCGGCCGGCTCCTCATCCCCCTTCTCTGGCAGCTTTAGGTCCTGGGAACAAAAAAAGGAGTTGTAAGTGCCAGGAGTGTCTGTCCTTAGGAGCTGTGATTAGCCAGACGCTGTTTGTCTGTGGCTTGTGTTCCCCTGGTAATCGGGGGGTGACAGACCCTCTCCCAGCACGTTTTCCGGAGGTTTCTGCCGCGCCGCGGCGGGCGGGCGCTAATCTCCGGATCCCAGAGATCCCAGGGCTGTAATCTTGCCACCACCTCCTTGGCTCACACCCAGGAGCCGAGCGAGAGGCCTCACGTGGAGCAGCCGAGCTGCCCCGGCCTTTCCCGATTCTCCTTCCCCCGCTTCCGTGGCCGCTCCCGGTTTTCCAGCAGCGCCACGTCCCTCTAGTGGAACGGCGCGGGGCTGCAAGCTCCGGAATGCGCTCCCCTGGCTGGGATTTTGGGATGCAGGGCCCCAGCGAGCCTCACGCTGTGTGTCCTGCAGAGCATGTACATCTTCCTGCACACCGTGAAGGGAACCCCCTTCGAGACCCCGGACCAGGGCAAGGCCCGGCTGCTCACGCACTGGGAGCAGATGGATTACGGAGTCCAGTTCACCGCCTCCCGCAAGTTCCTCACCATCATGCCCATCGTCCTGTGAGTATTCCCAGCTTGGCCCAGCTGCCTCGTGTCCCAGTACCCACCAGTGTTCTGTCCTGGGACACAGACACACGGAATGCCACAGCTCAGTTTGCCTCTCTTTGTTCCCACCCTTCTTTTCCAGGTATTTTCTAACCAGCTTTTACACCAAGTACGACCGGATACACTTCATCATCAACACCATCTCCCTCATGAGCGTCCTGATCCCCAAACTGCCTCAGTTCCATGGAGTCCGGATCTTTGGGATCAACAAGTACTGAGCGGCGTGGCTGGAGCGGACGGCGGAGGAGCGGGGAAAGGGGGAATTCCTTCTCCCCAGCCCCGTTTCCTCCCCCCACGCAGACTGGGATGTGATTTCGGAGTGGCTGTTCAAAGGCAGATCCCAACAGACACATTCCGCATGCTGGATCCTCGTGCCCAATAAATCCAAACCAGCTCCAGAGTAGAGTTTAGTGCGGAGCAGGACACGCGACACCGGATTTCTCTTATCCCAGTGTCACCAGTAGATGCAAAACCACCGAGACTTGGAGGTACAACGAGGATGAATTCTGGGAAGAGTCTCATCTGTCCCAGACATGGAATGACAAGGACAGGGGTGAGGGGAAAAGCTTTTAGTGCTGGTACTATTGCTGTGGTAAATGCACTTTAAAATACCTTTCCCTTCCTGAAGCTGGGTGCTTTGAGCAGTACATGGGGGAAATCCAAAGGGATACAGCCAGACTTTCCCAGGACTGGATTGTTTTGGAGTCTGAGTTCCAGTTCTAGGCAGATCTGAACGACAGATTTTTATTTTGCAGTCTTTGACACCTCTGAGGAGGGAAGTTCTTTTCCTAAAAACAGCACGGGAAGGAACAACCTGCAGTTTGACAAAGCTTCCGCCTTCCTACAGCACCATCCATGTGGTCCAGGGAAAAGGTGGATAGATCCCAAATCATGCTTGTTATTTTCAGTTTATACCCAAATCTGTCCAGGTAACTCTTCTCCCCACCTCACTGCTGGTTTTTAAGCACAGGAGGGCTCGGGGGGCATTTGGATCAAGGGCTGGGGGTGGATGATTTAGTGATTGACAACAAATGCCACCGAGCTCCTTGGGACACGGACATGGACATGGAGGGGTGTGGGAGAGGCTCACACTGGACAGGTACAGGCCCAACAAGGTGGAGGCCTGATTGCTCTAATCAAGCACACAGCCATCCTTGACTTTAATTGGAATTTTTCTCTTCAGTCCAGCTCCTTGGTTAAGTCTGTGTGACTGGGATTTGGCAATTCTCCAGTTATCCACGGACTCGAGGGAAGTGAGGGTTGGATTTCTGGCTTACCTGGAAGTCTGTCCCTCAGCTCCACACCCAAGGGCTGCATGAGGAGCAGCAGCAGCAGCTGCAGATGAATTGACCAGCAGAGGGATTCAGTGGGTCACTGATGAGAGATTATTTCACAGAGGAACAAAATCCAGCCTTTTCCCTCAAATTACCACCTCAGACAGGTTCAGGTTTCCTGGCTGAGACAGCTTTTTCCTGTTCAAAATAATCCCATTTTCTTTTGGGTTATGTTCCAGGTGGAATGTTTTCCCTCATGGTTCCCCTGAAAGCCCATGAAAACCTGTATTTCTGTTGTCTTAGTGCTTATATTGTCTCATCTTTCTGACAATGGGATAAAACCTTTTAAATCTGCTATTTTTGTTCCTGCAGTAGCAATTCCAGCTTTAGAGGCCATGGTGGAGAGCGTTGAGTTGTTGGATGGTCTGAGCATAGGACATGGATTGGGGAATTTCAGGTTTGCACCTAAAATCTGTTACTCTGTGCATAATTTTAGGGAAGCTGCTTCACTTCTCTCTCTCAGACTTCCTATGGGACTGCTACAGGGAAGGGAAAACATTCAGTGTACCTCAGAGGGCTGCTGGAATGCAGGGAGAATCACTCCCTCATATGTTTGAAAAGTGGAAATATAAGTGAAAAGGATGTTTTCAAGAAGGTAGAAAGAGAAAAGAGTCTGGCTGGAGACCCCAGACGTGCGTTGACAGATGTGCAATTTCCCTGATGGGGAGGTTAAACCTTAAATGTAACCCCCAGGACATAAGGACTGCTGCTTTAGTTAAGGTACTCTCTACCCTAATCGGCTCTTTAAGCTACTAGACAATGATAATTGTTATCAAAATAGAGATATTTCATCAATCAGCTTGGAAATGGCACAGGAATGAGCAGTATCCCTGCGGGAATGGCCGCTCTGGGGAGCAGGTCCTGGCAGGGTGGCTGAAGCTGTACCCAAAATACTGTGTGGTGCTGAACAGACCCGAGTGTCTGCCCAGGCACAACTTCCATCTCCAGAGGGAAGAAAATGAATTGTTTTGGTAGAAAAAAAAGGGGAGAAACAGCACTTTTTTGGCAACAGAAACAGTCTCTAGGTGCTTACAGACATGACTCCTCACAGGCAGACATATGCTGGGTAGTTCTAAGCATATGCACATCACAGAGTGAAGGCAGGTTTGATAATTTTAGAATAATTATAAATTGAAGGGATCAGCTTTTCTTGATGAGATAGAGCAATTCCCACAGCCTCCCTGAAGGCACTACAACAGCTGAGAGTCTGAGCACTCGTGCTGGTCACTGACACTAAGGACATCTGACTCTGTTTTGTTAAATTAAATATAACTGTGAAACAGAATTGGATTATAAACTGCTCAAACAAGCAGGTTTAAAAGCCTGAAGTCCAAAATTTATAATTAAGGCTCTGCCTAACAGCAGAAGTAAACTTTTCTGACTTCTTTCCTTCACACAAATGATTAAAACCAGCCTACCTAGGGGTTATGTGACAGTGACACACTTTACAACACAGGCATCATTTTTCCATGAAATAACTGCAATTATCTTGGACTCAGTTAGTCCAATCAAGGGAAACATAAGTGGAAACAGGAGGAATATGGAAAGAGGCGAGTTGAAGAAAGATTTCTTGTTATATTAAGTGTCTACATACGATTAATAAGTATTTGAACAATTACAAACCTGGCAGAATCTTCCTTAAGATCCCAGCTTAAGGGTAGGTGTCAGGATTAATCAAAAATAGAAAAGCAATAAGTTAATTGTAATTAAACCACCATTGTTAGGGGTACCTGAGAGAGGCTGAAGTGAAAGGACAGCATGGGCAGGCTGAGGGGTTGTCAGATGTGTCTTTAGAGGTGAGAGATCAGGGATGAAGCCACATTTTATGTGGAGAACCCAAACATGAGCAGAACTCCTTTTAAAGTGGAGTTTTCCCCAGGTACCTGCGTGGAGGAGATAAGTGACCATTGCTGATTTTAAATGGGATTCTGATCACATTTAAATGGGATTCTGATCTGATAGATTTTCGTATGAAACTTGTCCTGTATCATAAGCAGGGCAAATCTTACCTGGAGAGATCGTGGCGGGCTCCACCCTGTGATGGAGAAACAATTCCTGGTGAGCAGGTACTTCAACAGCTTTTCTTTTTGGTTCTGCAATGAAAGAGAAAAGCTTTTGAAAGCCTGGGACCCTTCTCAGGAACTGGCAGCAGCCTTGCACTGGGCAAAGCCTCCTAAGCCACTGTCAGCACCACGCACGTATCCACAGGGTACAGCGGTCCCTGCTCCGGGACAGTGGGAAAACCAGCAAGTCCTCCCAGCCTGATGCTCCTGAATTAGGGATCCTGTCTTGGGATTAATCTAACAGAGCTACCAGGGTGGCAAACAGTGCAAACCTTCGCAGGAAAAAGCCTTTAAAATAAACGAGATTTAGGGCTACTTCATTCCCGAGTACTTTTATTTTTGAATTTTGGGTTGTTTTTAGAAGCTCGGTACTGGCCCTCAAGGAGGGGACAGCAGTGGGTTAACACATTAATATTCCTCATTGTAACTTATGTTGCTTTATCATTGCCTATAATAGCTTTTAAGCATGCGAGTGTTGGTGTATCTGTATCCTCCCTGGATCAGTTTAATGAGCTGAATTAATTGGGAGGTTTTTTTAAAGGAATGTTCTGTACAAAGTTTTAGGGTTTTTTTTCCCAGTAGCCCTTCTTTTTGCTGTGGATACAGGAGTCTCAAGTAGAGAACTTTCTAAAATAAAGTGTGAATATTTTTATTACTCCTTTGTACAGTGTTCTAAGAGAGACTAATAAAGTTAAGTATTCAGGTAAAAACTTGTGGTTTGAGTTTTGGAATTTTCACGTGGATGGGTTTTGCTGTTAAACAGGAATGGCAAATGAATCATGGAATGGTTTGGGTCGGAAGGGACCTCAAAGATCATCCTGTTCCACCCCCTGCCATGGGCAGGGACACTTTCCACTATCCCAGGTTGCTCCAAGCCCCGTCCAACCTGCCCTTGGACACTTCCAGGGATGGAGTTACAACTTCTGTACCTGTAGAAGTTTGACTTACACACAGCCCCTGTAACAGACTCTGCTCAATCACTCAGACCTTTCAGGGGAAGAGTTATGCAATGGTTATTGTGTGAAAACAAATGTGAGGAGGAAATTCCTCCAGGGATCTCACATCTGGGAGTGACTTGGGATAAGCTGGAGTGACCAACCAGGGATCCTCCTGCACAGACTGGGTCTAACGGTGCTTCTGCCCCAGGGGTTGCTTCAGGGAGACACCCCCCCCCTTAGCAAGGTAAGGGCAATCAGTTTATTCTTTGGGTGTGTGCTGTTTCTAGCTTCCTGTGCTAACTCACAGCTCCCTCATATAGCAAAAGCTCCCAGCCCTCTGAGCAGAAGGGAAGCCTGAGATCTCCACCCCAGTCCTGCTGCTCTGCAGGGCTCACATCCCCTCAGCAGCCCCCAGGCTCCTGATCCACAAGAGGCATCCACCAAACAGGCAAGTGCCTTATTCCAGAGCTTGGGCTGTGGCAGAGACTTGGGGAAAGCTGTCTGCTAAGTGCTCTTCTTTTGCTTTTCTCCCTTCTTGAAGACTTCCAAGGCAATGAGTCCTACAAGTGCTACTAAAATTGGGCACACAAGCCTATTTGTCTTGGCAATGGATCTAACCTGAGAGACAGTAGGGTTAGATGGGATGTTGGGAAGAAATTCCTCCCCGGGAGCCAGGTGAGGCCCTGGCACAGGTTGCCCAGAGAAGCTGGGGCTGCCCCAGCCCTGGAAATGTCCAAGGCCAGGTTGGACAGGGCTTGGAGCAACCTGGGCTAGTGGAAGGTGTCCCTGCCCATGGCAGGGGTTGGAACTGGATGGGCTTTAAGGTCTCTTCCAACCCAAACCAGTCTGAGACTCCCTGATTTTCCCTCCCCCAACCCACCAGAAAAGTGAAACTGAAACTTCTTTTTTGGTGAAAAACAAGCTGCCTCAGGAAACAGGGCTTTGTTTCTGGCTCTCAAACACCAGCTCTCCCCTGCAGAGCACCAGACCACACCCAAGGGGCTGGCCTGGGCTGATTGCTTGATATTTCCTGCTCTTCTTTCAAATAATTTAGCTTCATTTGCCTTGCCATTTTCCTAAGGCACAAATCCACTTGGCTTGGCTGCAAAACTTCATCCACACACAGCAGAATGTTTAAAAAAGTCACCAGATATGTTGTAAGTCAAATGGATACAAACAAAGAATTGGCACCTGTCGAGAACAGCGCAGACCAGGAGTACTTCAGACCCTTCTATCTTCTGATACAAAAAAGAAAACAAGATAGTGTATACCGCTCAGATCCCTACTACCAGTGCACAGAGTTCAGACTGGACCATGTGCTGCTGCCTGGA